GGTACCAGGTGACTGTTGGGGTTTGGAAGGGGCAAGGGGTAACAGGACAGTGGATTAAAACGTCCTAGCTCCTGTCGGAATAGGAAGACAGTAATGTTCCCTGGCTCTTTAAGAGCTTGAAACAAAGTCATTCCTGATATCCTAGGAGGCTCTGGTGCAGCCTAGGAGAGGCAGAAGTACTAGAGTAGCCTACCAGGGGCATGGCTGTCCCTGTGTCCTGGGTGCATGGGTCTCACCCAGGGTTGCATCTCTTCTGCAGAAAGACCAGTTTGGAATGTATGCATTGTATAGCAAGAACAAGCCAAAGTCGGACTCTCTCCTGGCCAGCCATGGGAATACCTTCTTCAAGGTAAGTTCCGCTGCTTGTGTCAAGAGTGCTCTGGATATTTATGTCACTGATCTGTTTAAGCAAAGCCAAGTTTCCTGTCTGAGGCAGGCTCAATGCTGCCTCTGCTTCCCTGGCACAGCTCTCTGCACAGGTGTATGGTGGGACAGGGCAGAGGTGTGCAGCAAGTGCTTTGGAAAGGAGCTGAGCAGACAGCATCTGTCCTGTGGGCTTGCATTTCCCCAGTACCCCAGTCAGGAGAACTGTGGGTGTCGGTGCCTGCCAGGGGGTGCAGGGTGCTCCACAGGAAGCTGCTGCCTTCACTCTGCTGTGTTTCTCAGCTCAAGCAGGTGCAGCTGGGGGATAAGATGGACCTGGCCTCCTACCTGCTGAAACCCATCCAGCGGATGAGCAAATATGCTCTGCTCCTGAAGGACCTGATCAAGGAGTGCAGTGAGGCACAAGAGCAGGAGCTGGGCAACCTCCGTGCAGCTGAGGAGATGGTGAAGTTTCAGCTCCGTCATGGAAATGACCTGCTGGCCATGGATGCCATCCGTGACTGTGATGTACGTTCCCGTGTCCTCCCCTGCCCAGGGGGACAGAGCCACACTTCTTCCCCTTCTCTAGACTTGGGGTCTTTGGATTGTATGGTGAGCCTCCCCTCAGATTCCCACAGTGATCAGGGTGCTGTCAGTCAGTACAGCATGGCATGGCTGCTGAGGCATGGGGCAAGGGCACAGCAGGGCTTGGAGTTCTCCTCAATTCACTAGGATGGACAGCCTGGATGCTGTTACCTGAGTTGAGTGAGCTGCTTGTCATAAACACCCTCCCAGGTGCTTACCTGTAGTGGGAGGCAGCCTGGCAGCCCTGGATGGTGTCCTGCAGGCTGCTTTGGGCCCTTGGTCTCTTTTGAGCTGGTGAAAAGAGGATCAGGCAGTTTGCAAGAAGGAATACAAACCGATGCCAATGTCAGGGGTAGGGCAAAATATCTAGGTGGGGTTTGAAGGAGAAGTGTACAAAGTGCAGCACTGTAGGAGGAAAAAACCCCAGGGCTCAGAGTGGAGGAAGGTCAGCCTGGGACAGGAAGAACTGAGGAACTGAACACGTGACCCAGAGGTACTCCTGTCAGTTTGATGGGACTCATTTCCTCCTCAAGAGAAAGCTCTGGCTGCTGTCTGCAGTTTCCGCTCCAGAGGTTTGTCACAGATCTGCGCAGAGTGACAGAAGAGAGTCATCTGTGGGTTATGCCTAGGAGAAAGGTGCATCTCTCCCTGAGCTTGTTTTAGCCTGATGTGGTCTCTAGCAATGCCATGCAGCCATACTTCTTAAAGAGGCCTCCTAGGATGTCATGTAGCTGCCACTTTTTTACTACCTGGGCCACAGCCGTATTGGGACCCTGTTCTCCAAGTCCAGGTCTGGGGCTGCCTGGATCAACCTGCTGGAGTCTTACTAGGATGTTCCCTGTGTCCAGGTAAACCTGAAGGAGCAGGGGCAGCTGGTGCGGCAGGACGAGTTCACCATCTGGCTGGGCCGTAGGAAGTGCCAGCGACACGTCTTCCTCTTTGAGGACCTGATCCTCTTCAGCAAGCCCAAGAGGATCGAAGGTGGCTTTGATGTGTATATCTACAAACGCTCCTTCAAGGTAAGGTCAGCCCTGCAGCTCCTTCTCTTGTGAGAGGTGTCCATGCCTGATTTCCCTGTGGCACATGCCTCTGAAATGGGAAGCTGGAGCACCTTCAGCAGAAATACTGCTCCCACCACTTGTAAGCCTTATACAAGCCATGCAGTGAAGCCAGAAAGGAATACTTCACACATTAATGCCTAGGCCCCATCTGTGCTGTGAGATGTGGAACCAGCGTCTTCTGAGGGACAAAGGAATGTGTGTGTGTGGCAGGGAAGTGGTCCTGACTCTGGGTGAAGCACTGGGAATTGGCTGAGCTGTCTGCACTTAGCTCTGTCCAGGTTATATCTGCTCTCAGGCTTGTTTCCACTGAGTCTGCTGAGCCGGGCTTAGCTCTGGCACAGGGTTCAGGCAGAGTTTTTCTGCTCCTGGTGGAGCCTGGTTGATGCTTTGCTTTTCCTCTTCCTCACAGACTGCAGACATTGGTCTGACAGAGAACTCTGGAGACAGTGGCCTGCGCTTTGAGATCTGGTTCCGAAGGCGGAAGTCCAACGACACCTACATCCTCCAGGCCAGCTCAGCTGAGACTAAGCAGGCCTGGACCAGTGACATTGCCAAGATCCTGTGGCAGCAGGCAGCCCGCAATAAAGGTGTGATTCCTTCCTGGGGCGTCTGTGCCGCAAAAGGTGCGGGAGCCCTGTTCAGCTCGTGCTGTCCTGAGTAGGTTTGGAGCCTGTCACCAGGCAGCTCTGCAGCAAGCAGCTGTGTGCTGGCATGGAGCCTCAGGAGCATGTGCTGGGCTTGGCTGAGCATGTCCCTTCCCTGCCCCTCATCCCGAGGAAACTAAACCTGCCCAAGCTCTCTGTGACTGTAGACACCCACTAAACTCCATGAGAGAAATGGGAGGTACAATCACATGGTTCCCTGTCCTGCAATCATGGGCTCTGCCCCTGAAACACTGCCCTCTCTGCAATCTAGGCCACTACTGGAGTGTCAGGTGCTTGACTCAGGCTGGCCAAGTCCCTTCTTTCCCCACTAGGCTTTCTGCTTGGCAGGATTCCAGTAGGTGGCATGGCACTGAGCTGCTTGGCCAGAGCAGGGCATGATTGCTTGTTCCTGGAGACTCCACGGGGCTGGGGGGCAAGGGGAGAACAGATCTAATCTCAGCAGTTCAGGAACAGGCCAGCCCAGGAGTGCTGTAGCCTGGGGCTGTGTAATTCCTGTGGGGAAGATCAGGTCAACCTCACTATTTGGCTGTGGGTCTCTTCCTTTCCAGAAATCCGCATGCAGGAGATGGTCTCCATGGGTGTGGGTAACAAGCCGTTCCTGGATATCAAACCCAGTGAGGCAGCTATCAATGACCGTGCTATCAATTACATCATGAAAGGCAGAAGTAGGTGCCAGCTGTGCCTTCCCCCTTGCTCCATGTGAGCTAGGCAGGACTGGTTCTCAGGGCTTTTTCTGTGTATTTTCTGACAGGTGCCAGGACCAGAGCATCAATTGCGGTGTCTCTGTTTGACCATTCCAACCCGTTCAAGAGAACACAGACTCAGCTGTCCTCTGGCAGCACCCCCACTGCATACAGTCCTTCCTCCTCCTCCTTGCTGGGGCCTCTCAACCTTCACATGTACCTGGACCAGGCTCTGCTGCCAGGAGTCCTGGCCCCCAGGCGTCCCTTTGACATCGGCACCTGCATTGAGGAAGATGAGCTGGAGCACGAGACAAGCAGCCAACCGTCCCTGAGTATGTACAGGCTCACTGCTCTTCAGCACCCTGGGGCATGCAGGCTCATCCCCACACCTTGCTCTGTGTTGTGCAGTCAGACCAGCCTCCCTCGGGTCATGGCAGTCCTTGTCTTGTGCCTAGACCAGGGCATGAAGGCCCTACCCTTCCATTGCAGCTGTCTCAGCTTCCATGGGGGCAGTTAGCTCAGACACGGGGTTTGTAAAAGTGCCTGCTGAGCTGCAGCCATACCCATGGCAGCCTTGGTGCTGTGTGCTGATGCTGCTGTGGCCTTGGAGACTTGGGTCTCTGCCCCTCTGGTGTGAAGCACCCGTCCCTTGCCAGCCTGGTCCAGTGACCCTTTGGCTTCCCTTATGTGAACTTCCCTGGCCAGCCCATACCAACTTCCTTGTGTTGTTTTGTTGCCTGTGGCTTTAAAAGAGGCCCAGACAGGAGTGTGGCTGATCTGTAGGCTTGTGTGGCCAGTGCCTCAGCAAACAGGTTTACACCTGTTTTTTAAAATCACATTCTCAAATGATGTGGCACAGGTCACATGTAGCGCAAATTAATGGTTGTCAGAGTGACCTTTCTGTCTTTCCACAGCAACGGAGAGCTCAGAGTCATCGCACTGCATGTCAGGCACTGGCTCCAGTGGCTCCGACAGTGGCTGTGTCTCCAACATCCCACAGGAAAGCTTCTGTGAAGACATGGTCTCACCCTCCTACGTGCCCATAGGCCCACAACACAGCTCTGCCATGGAGGGGAGACCCAGGTTCACAAACAGCCAGTACATTTCTGCAGTAAGTGCAAGCAGCCAAAACACTCTCTTCACTTTGCCTGTTCCTGCACCTGCCTCCCCAGTTCAAGCCACTGCCTCTCATGGGGGGACTGAAGATGCTGCTTTTGGGCTCGGGGTCACTGTGGGGAAGTGACATTTCCTCTTGTAGAGACTCACCCCCTCTGGGGCAGGTGAGAGCCCCTCTGGTGTGGGAGCCACCCCTGAGGTGACCAAGATCCCCGAGGAGATGCGCTGGAAAGGACCTGCAATGCTGGAGGCTGCACAAGGAGGGGATGCTGCACAAACAGGAGTTATAATGCTGTCATGGGCTGGGGTGCATATGTAACCTCCTGGGATGGCTGGAGCTTTGCTACAGATGCTGCCAAACTCTTTTCCTGGGAGGTCTGGGCCTTTTGGGGGGAGCAGTGAGATGGAGGAGCGGGAGCCTGTTGCTCTGAGTTGTCAGTGTGTCTCCTAATGTTCCTGAAAGTTCTTAGCTTCTTCTCTTCCCACTAGATTGTGTCCTGATGCTGTTGTCCTCTAACCCTGTACTAATGCTGGCTTCTCTCCTCTGCAGAAAGCAGGCCAGGTCACCATAAGTCCCTCGACAATAGTGTGAGCCCCTCGGCACATGTATACCGCCTCAGGAAGTGGAGTTGTTGTAAGTAGCCCCTGAAGGGGATTTTCCAGCAGCTCTGAGTGCTGGTCAGGCTTGTCCGTAGCTCTGAGTCAGGAGAACCTCACTTTTTTTTCCCTACACATTCCTGACTGGGCTCTGAGGCTCTGATTCATCTGGTTGAAGAAGACCAGCTCCTATGGAGCCAACACTTTAAACAGCTGGTCTGATGCCTCCCTGGTTTGAAGAGGCAGCAGCAAAACAAGCAAAATCACTTTCAGGTAGTAGAGGCTTGAGCACCACCAGTGTTCAGATGAGCTGCTTTCCTTTGAATACTGCCCACCTCTCTAACCACTAATCTGTTTCTTGTGGCTCTTTGCCAAAATCCTGCTCTTAGTCCCTCTGAAGTGCCTTGGGGCATCCATGGTCTTTTCCATAAGCTGGATTTATCCCACAGTTTCCTTTGAACTTCCAAAGGAAACTGCACATCACCAGGCAGAGGAACCTGCTAGGTTATGGTCAGGGTGTCCTGAGAGCGTTACCAGATGTTGCCCCTGTACTTAGTGATTTCAGGAGGATGCCTTGTCTGTGAGGAAATTGCTACTGATCTGAGCAGGGGTGAGCCCTGGCAGGACTTGCAGCCAAGCAGGACTTCCTGTGTGTAGGTGACAGCCCTGGAATGTCAGGTCAGGGCCCACTCAAACCAGCCTGCTCCTGGCTCAGCTTTTTCCTCTGTGTCTTCAGGCCTGAGCCTCTCTTTTCACAGGGAGCAGAGGGGTATGAACATGAGAGTGTGAGGATTAGGGCTTGAATGGCCGAGGCAGAGGGTGGTAGGTGGCTCATAGGTTTGCACTGGGGGTGTTACATGCAGGCCTGTGGCTTGTGATCTGCAGGTACAGGAGTTCATGTCCAGCTGAGCAGACCCAGCCAAGGTTCAAATTTAAGACCCAGAGCCCCTTCTGATGGGGTTGCAGACAAGATTTTTGAACTGGCCACAGAAGAAACAGGTTTGCTGGCCCAGGGCTGCTAGGATCTTCCTGTGAGGGAAGAGCTGTGCTTCTTCTGTGAGGCTCTTCCAGTAAAACATTGTTTCCCCACCAAAATTTCTCTCTGACAAATGGTTTTCAAAGTCACTGCTGGCCAGGACAGAGGGACCTGTGGGATCCTGCCATGTCATGAAAGTGCAGCTGGTCTAACCCATTGCACGGTGCTGTGTTCCAGGTTTGATTGCCATTTCAAACTCACTGAAGACCCCAGGCCTCTGACAGCAGAAGGAGACAGTCTTCATGCATGAAGATATTTTTTGCCCATAATCAGGCTCTTTCAAACAGCCCCAAACCTGACCTCTGCCTGGGGGGAAGTCCCAAGAAGGTTTCTGTCAACTACACATAGTAGCTTTGGTGTTGGATGGGACCTTGGGCGTTGAAAACTTGTTAGCTCTATATTTATGAGTAATTAAGTAACATAGCAGTTTGGAGGAAAAAATGTATTATTTTTAAAGCTATGAGCTGTACAGATTTTTGTTACTAAGTGACTCTGTTACTATTTGTTCTGTAAGCTGCACATTTTATAAAATTTTTGGAAGGGCATAAAGAAAAACTGAGGTATTTAAGAAAAGTAGTGTAACTTTCTGTTTCAGGGTTATATTGACCTGGAGCTCAAGATTTAATGTCCTTCCTTATGTTCTAAATATGTCTATCATAGCAATAATTTATTTTCTTGGCTTAACACTTCTGTTTTAATAAAAGCAATTTCATTGTTATAGTGAATTGTTTCTTCAGATGGTTCTTCCAGTGCCTCAGTGCTGAGCTAATCTCTGTCGTAACCACCTGTCAGCTCTGCCACTCTCCCTGTGCCATTTCTGCACTAACCAACTGCCAGCTCAACCTCTACATTCTCAGCACATTTGCTGGAAAAGGGGAAGATTCCCAGGCAGAGACTCCCTTGATGCCAGTGGAGGGGCTGAGACAGAGAGGGGAGTTTGGAGCAGCCAGCAGAGACATCAGTAGGTCTGGTGGAGTCCAGGAGGCACAGGCCTCCAGAGTTCCTGGCTCTAAATTAAGCCACTTACCCCTTGAAGCTGCTGTCGCAGTGCAAGTCTCTCTCTCCCTGCTGGGTCAAGTTCCAGTGGCATAGTTCATGCTCCATTGTGCCTTGTCCTAGCTGTGCTCCTGGTTTTGGGTGACTGGCTGCTTGCTTCACCTCTGACTCAGCCCCTCCTCTGGTACTTCAGTCCCACTGTTGTGGCTTGTTTGAGGAGCTCTGGATGGTGCTGGCATCCAAGACCAACAGGTTTTGAGTGTGATGGGTTGATTACAATGCTGAATCTTAAGTGCATGTCGTTTGAAGTAACACTACGTAACTGGAGGACAAACATGCCCTGTGTTCCAAGGTGGTTTATTCATGAGTAACATCCAGGTTCACTGCGTGGCTGTGACACCTTCTCTCTGTTCTTGGAGGAAATGAGTATTAGCATTTTTGGAAACAGTAGTTAGTTACTGCCAAGCTCCTGTTTACTCCTGGTTTATGCAGGGCTGTAAATCAGGCTCCCTCCCCCAGCTGTGGGAGAAGTGTCACATTTGGCCTGAGGAAGAAGATGGAGCAGTAGTTTCTGTACAGTTTTCTCCCCTTGGCAGTGCAGCACTGCAGTCTAGGGTGTTATACCCCATGGCCACCCTGGAGACCGTGTTCCTTCAAGTTTGGAGATTCCTGTACTGTATATAAAACACTTGTTTATTTTTAATAAGCTGGATGTTTTTTTAAACCTTGTTCTTTTTTTAGACAGCGAAGAGAACACAGTTTGACACCTTTGTACAAAATTGTGTGGGAAACAGTTACACAGGGAATATTTTACAAGTTACTATTTTGAGATAATTGCTGGGTTAATACAAGATTTTTTTTGGCTGTCAAGACAGCAATAGCTCATGTCATAAGAGGGAGAATTTAATAATGCAATAAGAGGAACATGAAACTTCCTGAATTTCTCAGTTTCAAAGGTTTCTGCATTGCTGGAAAAACCTTTAGTATTGTTTACCTGACACTGTTTTTTCAGGGTTTGATTGATTTGTCTAATAAAGGTTATTTTCTTTATATGAATCTTGTTTGCATTGTGTAGTGATTTCAGCATGGGAACCTGAGCTGCAGAAGAAACAGGGTGCACTGAGGAGCAGTTGTGCCTGGGGTGTATAAATACCTGCTCAGAATACTGGGGGGAGAGTGAAGCAACATTTCTCTAACCCAACAGGTTGTTGGGGTGAGGCTGATGGTGCCTGTCATTTAAAATACTGAAAAGTACACAAGCCGGTATTTTTTTTCCTGTTTCATATCTGGTACCCAAACAGTGAGAAAAAGAATTGCTTTATTGGCATAAATACAAATCTTCCCCTTGCCTCCTTTGACCTCCACAGAGCCTGAACTTTATGTCAAGAATCCCAAATTAGATGATGCATTTTGGAAAAGGTAAAAATAAATGAGCCAGAGGTGTTCAGCAGCACCCCTTGAAATCTCAGTCAAAATTGGTTTTTTCAAGACTTTTTCCAACTATTATCCTTCTACAAGTGAAGTGACAATCTCTGTCCTTTTTATTTTTTTCATTTACCTAACTATGGGCATTGATGATGAAATCAGATGCTGAAAAGCAGGAATCCCACTCTGTTCTCTGGCACTCAGGGCACATCTCATTTGAGAGATACGAGATGCAGAGTTACCAGCAGAGGGGGCAGGTGGAGTGTTTTTCAGCTGGACTAATCCGATTTAGCAGATCCTGCCGTGAAAAACCTCATAAAACTCTAAAGAGAGATGCAATTTTCCTTTTCACTAAAGGTGTGCAGACAGTGCACCAATCTGTGCTCACAGAATGGTTTTGGGTCAGAAGTGACCTTAAAGATCATTTTGTTCCAGCCCTTTCCATCAACAGGATCACCTTTCACTACACCAGGTTGATCAGAGCCCCATTCAGCCTGGCTTTGAACACTTCCAGGGATGGGGAATGCAAGAATTCCAGTTGGGTGGAATGTGCTCTTAGCCATACCTCAACAGGTCCATGGTAAATGTGATCCTATGTGGTTTGTTGATGCAATAGACTGCTGAGGTTTGGTGGTCTTCCTCTCCCAGCTTTGAGATACACAACATCCTTAAACACTGTCTAAAGAGAAAATGAAAAAACAATCATGTTAAACCCAAAATACCAATATTTGGGGTTAAAACTATCAAGCAGGGCAACATTTTGAGACAATTCCATAAGAAAAAAAGAGTAAAAAAAAAGAAAAGATTGGAAACCGAAAGAAACCAAGTCTAGATTAAACTTAGAGGAAATGCAAATATTAATGTATGAAAACACACATTTCATCAGGCCAGGACATATGGACTCACCCTGAGCTGGCACAAGGCAAAACTACACTGTAATT